ATTTGTGATTGGAATCTTAATTGACTTGGATAGATCAATTTTCGACTTTAGCCTTATTTTTATCTTTTTCATTGACAAAAATAATAAATAAAAGCTTATATATATTTAAAAAAAATAAGAAAATAGTTCAAAATTTAAAGCGTATCATTTATACATCATTATTTATTTTTAACTAAATATATTTCATAAACAAGTATAAATTATGTAAAATATGGAAATAGTTATATAAAAATATAAAAAACAAATTATAATTGATATCATAAATCCAAAAACAATAGTATACCCATCAGAAGTTTAATTTTCAAAAACCAAATCTAAATTTACTAGGAAAATAATATTATTCGAACCTCTATGACACGAAGGTTATCCATAGAAAGAAATGGTCTTAATTTCTACGACCCGAACTCGCTCCATAGAAACTGAATCGGTTGAACTCAGTGCAACCTAAACTTAAACTCTCTTCAAAACGAATGTTGCTTTAATCCACAGAGATTTATGTAACTGCTACGACACCAATGTTGTTTTATCATATCACGCATAATGATTATTCTAGTATTTATGAAAAATATTATTTTTAAACTCATTTAATTCATAAAAGGGGTCCTAATATTTTTATGACCCCAAATCGATCCGAATTACGTATTAATTATTTTAGACCTAATTTCTCACCAAACCTATTTTTTTTAGTGGAAAGCAAGTGAAACACAGTGGAAGAGGAGGCAATTTAGCCATATTGAGTACTACTTATACTAATACATACACATTCTTCAAGTTTGTATTTTTACTCACTTTCTCCACCCCTTTGATCAATTTCCATGGTCTTTCTCTTCAATTTCATTTAGTTTCCCCGAATTCCAAGCCCTTTCTCTTAGATCTCAATTGTGTTATGGACATGGCTTCCAGTCCGCGCACCGTTGAAGAGATCTTCAAGGACTATAGCGCCAGAAGAACCGGTGTTATTCGCGCTCTCACTCATGGTACTACTCTTCTCTCTCCAATGCCTCTTTCTCTTTCTTCCATTTTCCTCTCCCACTTGCTTATGACCTTTTTGCCCTTTTCTTCTTTCAGACGTTGATGAATTTTACGGACTCTGCGATCCAGGTAAAGGGTGGTTAGGATCTGGGTTTTCTAGGGTTGGTTCCATAGTTTGGTTTTTGTTACGTGTTCATTTTGCTTGGTTGTTTTTGTGGGATTCGTCTTGTTTGTGAACTTGCAAAATTGGTTTTTTGGTTGGAGTGAATAAATTAGAGTTTGCACGCTCGGAATTTGAGTAAAACGACATGGGTCTGTGGTAATGAGAGGAATGTGAGTTCTTGTGCGTGGGGGGTGATTTTTTTGCAGAACTGGTTTTGTATGAAATTGGTCTTGGTTACTGTTGATTTGACTGTGAAATTAATTTATGCTGGGATGTTTTTATTGTAGAAACAAGTTAGTAGTGGAACTTTATAAAATTAAGATAAACATTCGAGATTGATTTTGAGTCTCAAAATCGGTTAACTGTTTACTGGTATTTCAACTATGATTTTGGATTTTACATTATCCAATTTGAATCCAAAAATGCGCTTAGTTATTGAGGGAATATGGAATGAGGTAGTATTGGTATGTTCCGATGTTTGAGTCTGGTTAGATGACAACAATCACATTCATTCTGGTGTATTGTGTCCTTCTATTAAATTTAAAGTCTCTGGTGTGTTTCTTTAAGATAAGGATAACTTGTGCCTCTATGGACACCCAAATGAAGCCTGGGAAGTAACTCTGCCAGCAGAGGAAGTTCCACCAGAGCTCCCTGAGCCAGCTCTTGGAATCAATTTTGCTAGGGATGGCATGAACCGAAGGGACTGGCTATCTCTGGTTGCTGTGCACAGTGACTCGTGGTTGGTTTCTGTGGCCTTCTACCTTGGGGCTCGTCTTAACCGCAATGAAAGGTAAGATCTAGGATATGCTTGAATGTGGTGATAAGTTAAGTTCATTGTGGCTGTCTATCCTTGTCTAATGTTGAAATTAAGGGCCACGATGTTGTTGGTGTGGTTGATGAATGTCTCGAGCAATTATCAACATTCAAATTTCTCAAATGTCTGTTGTGATCTGATGCCTGATAGATTTACGCATGCGTCCCTTGTTTTGCAGTAAGCTTTTTAATACAATCTTATGTGACCAGCAAGATCAGCTGAGGTCCCCATCCAACAATTTATTAGAAAAAAAAAATGAATTTGAGGTTATCAGTGAGTGACCATGTTGACTACTCTGCTTATCCTCATAAAAGTTTATGTATGTCAACATATCTAAACTATGATGACATCGGCAGTTTGAATTACCTTCCGATCACACACACACACACACTTACAAATATATTATTTTGTCATCACTTTAGTTTTTGATTTTGATTTATTTTAGTCTCAATTTGGTATGTTTATGACATTGGATATTTTTCCAGCCATAGATTAGTGATGTATGAATCTTTAAAATATGACTCTTGGCTATTAATGGTGAACATATCTTAAACTTTGAGTGCCTTTTTATTTTGGAGCATTTGTAAGTCTGTCATATTGACAGAATACCAATTGATATCACACCTATTAAAATACAGAATACTCCATCGCATATAAATCGCTTATATAATTTCAGTTATGTTTGTGTAGAGGGTGTTTGACAAAATCAGCTATCTTGAAAAAGTAGTTGCTCTGTGAATTGCTATACTGTTATATCACTTCCGGTTGGTAGTACTTGAAAATTAATTTCTGCGTTTTGCTCTGCTATCTGGGATTGACTACTATCGATTTTCTCTAATGGCTTTCCCTTCAACTAGAAATTTCTGCAACTACTTATTATTAGAGCTGTTCTACCGAATTTCTTTATTGTGGTAATTTTTTCTTTTCATTTGCTGCTTATGATTCCTTCTATTGATGGCTAACCCATTTCTTTATGGCAGGAAACGTTTGTTTAGTTTGATCAATGATCTTCCATCCGTTTTTGAAGTTGTGACTGAAAGGAAACCAATTAAGGACAAGCCCACTGTGGATAGTGGAAGCAAGTCTCGGGGAAGTACCAAGGTTAGTGTATTTCTATTCTAGTGATAAGTGTTTCTTGTGTAGCAGCACTCTCTCTTACACACTTTATTTTTTGCTGAAATTTTACTCGAAATAAAAAAATAAAAATTGCATTTCACTCTTTCTTATTTAATGATTTATCACTCAAGACTTATTAGTTTCCAATAAATATTAACAATTAGTAAAGAGTGTGTTGGGCGTAAGCTTGATGGCTTTTTTTAAGTTCGGACACTTTAGCTGTTACTTTTGCTATTCCCAAGAAGATAAATTGAAACAAAGTAGTATTCTAAGATATCTGTACCATGATGTCTGCTTTTGTATGTTATTGCACAACTAGTTCAAGCAGTTGTCTTCCAGTGTATGCAAAACCATGCGAGGCATGCTGCATGTTCCATTTCTGATGTCATTCCTGTACATTTATATGCAGAGATCCAATGATGGGCAAGTTAAAAGCAACCCGAAGTTTGCTGCAGATGAGGGTTACGAGGAGGATGAAGATGAGCACAACGAAACACTCTGTGGAAGCTGTGGTGGAAACTACAACGCAGACGAGTTTTGGATTTGCTGCGACATATGTGAGAGGTGGTTCCATGGGAAGTGCGTTAAGATCACCCCTGCAAAGGCTGAGGGCATAAAGCAGTATAAATGTCCATCATGCAGCCTGAGGCGTGGCAGGCCCTAGAGTGAAGACTGTGGAAAGGGTGCATGTGAGGTGAGTGTTGTTTCGTGGCTTACAAGATACTGTAATTTTGTTACATCACTTACAGAAGTTCATGTAATGGCTAAATTTAGTAGGGATCAAGTTTCTTTTTTACCAAGATGAACGGTTGGTGTATGATACACAGTACAGAATAGGACATGACAAATTTTAATTTCATGATTAGTTTATATTTAGTTGAATATTGCTTGAATTTATATTGTAACTTTATTTTAGTTTTTATCAGAGAAAACAACATTTTCTCCTCCACAGTTTTTTCTAATCCAACTTAAATTGTGTTGTTGCATGATGGGTTGATGAAACGATTGTGTGTGCATAGATGACTTCAACAAAAAAGAAACTGAATTATGTGTGAAGTAAGACGTGAAATTTTGATTTTCTGTCAACTTTGTCTCTTTCTATTTACCTATTCCTAAAAGGCAGGACGCATGTGTGGTGAACTTGAAGGTGAAATGGATTTCTATGGGACTTTAGTTTTTCTGTCACTGAGGAGAGCTCATTTTAACATCCTGAAATGCTTTTTGTTAAATTTAACGTATGATTTCTTAAGAGTGTGACCTTAGATTTTGATCGATTTCGATTATTCATTGTAGAATAAATATTGTTAGGAGAGCTTCTCGTTCTATCCTTTGTATTATGAAAAAAATGAAGTTTCTTATTTGAATAATAATATGCTTGGCTAAAATAGCCTTTTGTGGCTTCTATACTTCTGAACATTTGTTTTAAATCTAGTTTCAAGGTTTTGAAATTTTTAATTTGGTCTCAATTTTATCAAACTGAAATGTTAGAGAGTTGAGAGATCCGTGTATAGCAAAAAGAAAAGGAAAAACAAATCAAAGGACTTACAACCAATGTCTCCACCATCTGTTTCTGTTTTCAACAGACAATAATTTCCGGATGTTATAATTTTACTCTTTATTAAAAATGTTTCTAAATTTTCAACCCAACTTATAGTGATCACTATTTTCTATCTCATGAACAAATTTAGTAAAACAATCTGGTTTTCCTCATTCTAAACCATTATCCAAATGCATTCACAACTTTTTACTTCTATGCAAGTCACTTGAGGAAGCAACATGGAATAGACTAATGCCAAATGAGGCAGTGATGAAAATGGTATTGAGAAGGAAACTACGTGTGGTATCTGTAAAGAAAGACATTGACTGAAACATAGGCATTCTCGCCATCAAATCAATAATTCCCATTGGGACAAAGGAATAAACCAGAAGCATAAACACCAAAGGTTAAGTGTGAGAGTTGGACTTTTTGGACAACTATCGACAGTTAGCAGAATCTAAGGAAATGCAATGCAGCTTAGTTGACATCGCCACCTTGGTTAATTCTATGTGTTTTGTCCTTGTTGCACCCTTCTCTTCTCTGCTATAATCCTCCTCCTTACAATCCCTTTGCTTGGGCCTTAGACCCCAAAAGTTGAGCTATGGGTTCCTCTCGCTCACGTGCCTCTGCCACCGCCAAAGAACGCCTACGCTGGACACAAGAACTCCATGATCGCTTTGTAGTGGCTGTAAATAGACTAGGTGGCCCTGATCGTAAGTCCTCCTTTGCATCTCGATAATGACTCTTAATAATACCATGCATCATCATATAATAATGGTGCAAAACTGTGGAACTTCTTTATCAATGAACTTCTATATGAACTTTATCAATCTTTTGGGTATTGTTCAAGTTTGATTCTTGGTGAAAATAATCTTCAATCAAACCTTACTTTCTTCTCTGTCGAACCAGATTGGGACATCTTCAAAAAAGTCTGGAACTTGTTTTATGAAATGAAAAATAGTCAAACAAAAGTTAAGGTTTTTATGATTCTTTTATTGTTAGATTTCTTAATTATGAAATCTGTCAAGTGATGAATCCTTTGTTGATGGCTTAACCATTTATGTTGGAATAACAATTTTTAGCTTTCGTTAGTCTTTAGAAAATAATAATGGTTATAGAGAAATAATGAAGAGGAACAGAGAATTTAGGTCACTAGAGATACTAAGCAGAAAAAAATATTGCGTAATTTTTATTCGTATAAAAAAACAAATAATAAAGGTATTAGATAAAAGTGTCGAGAGAGAATGTGATGATAAATAATATTCTTAAGAATTTGAGCTATAATCAAGCTCAATAAATAATCGTGTTAATTATAAAATCAACCTTAACTTTCATTGTTGATTAAAAAAAAAATCGTGTTTTCGTGCAATACTTTAAAATCTGTGGTTGATTTTTCTTGTTTCTTGGATTATTTAGAGAAAGGAATTTATTAAACTTCTTTAAATTATACGTTTTTTTTTTTGNTTCAAAAAAGTCTGGAACTTGTTTTATGAAATGAAAAATAGTCAAACAAAAGTTAAGGTTTTTATGATTCTTTTATTGTTAGATTTCTTAATTATGAAATCTGTCAAGTGATGAATCCTTTGTTGATGGCTTAACCATTTATGTTGGAATAACAATTTTTAGCTTTCGTTAGTCTTTAGAAAATAATAATGGTTATAGAGAAATAATGAAGAGGAACAGAGAATTTAGGTCACTAGAGATACTAAGCAGAAAAAAATATTGCGTAATTTTTATTCGTATAAAAAAACAAATAATAAAGGTATTAGATAAAAGTGTCGAGAGAGAATGTGATGATAAATAATATTCTTAAGAATTTGAGCTATAATCAAGCTCAATAAATAATCGTGTTAATTATAAAATCAACCTTAACTTTCATTGTTGATTAAAAAAAAAATCGTGTTTTCGTGCAATACTTTAAAATCTGTGGTTGATTTTTCTTGTTTCTTGGATTATTTAGAGAAAGGAATTTATTAAACTTCTTTAAATTATACGTTTTTTTTTTTGTTAATTTCTTTGTATACTTGCATTCTGCCATTGTGTTTTAAAGACGGGAAATATATTCTATATTTAGTTTTAAAACGCACTTTTTTATTCTTTTGTAAAAAAGATGTTTGTTTTCTTAAATAAGTGATTTTTAAAATTACCTTTTTAAAAAACAAAAAACACATATTTTAAATTTAACGAAACTCATTCAATAACATATAATTTAGTTGGAGTGATAACCCATAAAATTAGTTAGATGAAATATTTGTTAGAGAGAAATTGATAGTTACATCAGTAATTTGTTTGAAAAAAGCTTCTCCATAAACATTTTTAAAAGAAGGAAAAAATAAGTTTATTAATATACCGAAATTAACTTACATATAAATTAACATAAAATTTTGAAGAAACTAATAGCTAATAAATTGTATAAATGGCACTAATTTGATTTGTTTGTGTAGGGGCAACACCAAAAGGTATATTGAAAGGAATGAAGACTATGGGTATTTCAGAGCTAAGCATTTATCATGTCAAAAGCCACTTGCAGGTTTGAATTACTTTATATTTAAATACCTTAATGCTAATTTCATTTTTCAACTGAAATTTTAAATAAATCTATTTTAAAATTAAGATTACACACATCATGTTTGAATTGGTTTATATCCATATCTCAAAGTTAATTGTAGTTTTCAACTGAAATTAATATATTCCGGACATGATATATTTAATGTTTATATAATATTAATAAATACTTTTAAGCAGTCTTTTCAATGTCAAATCAATTTCACCTAGCAAATGTTTTAATACACTTTGAAATACTGAGATCCATTCACAATTTTAACATGCTTACATCAACAAAATGGATGCTAATTCACATTTTTCATATCATTTATTAAAAATGTCATACATTATTTTCAACAAAAACAATTTTTTTACAATAATATAAAGACAGAAATCAGATTTAATTCAATATAAATAAATACAAAATTGTTAGAGTAATTGAATAACACATATTTAGGAAACTTGAACTTCAAAAGGCCATTATTCATATCTAGAAAGTGAAACCAGATAATTAAGTTGAAAAATCACAGTAAAGTTAATCATGTGGAGAAATCTGATAAGTTGAACATGGATTTGTTCAGAAATACAGGATCTCCAAATTGATTCCAGAGTCCTCCACAAGTAAGTTTCTTCCTTGAGTATTGATGCTAATATAGCTCCAAATAACACCAAATTCATGTGAATTTTCTAAATTATCTATGAAGGAGGAAAAGTTGAGAAGAGAAGCATATCAGATATACTTCCAAATTTTAGCTCTATATCGTGAGTTAGTAATTTTATTCAACAACAGTATTTTCTTTTTCTCACCTTTTCAACTTTCAGTTTTGCATCCTCCAACTTTTCAGCAATGATTTTACTATTAATGTTTGTAATTGGCAGTGCTCTTCAACTAAAGGAACTGCTTCAAATGCAGAAAGAGGTGCAAAATCGCTTGGGTGATAAAACACAGGTATTTCTTTTCAGTTTTGACCAAGATAGAGAGAATATCTTCAATGATTTTTTTTATTTTTTATTTTTAATTTTGTTTGATTGGCTTAAAGGTTGCGAGAAGTATGAAGGAAAAAGTTGAAGCACAAGGAAGGTACATGGAGAGACTTGGACAAAGCAGTGAGATGAAAACAAGAACTGGAAAAGCATGCAAGGCTTTTGATTCTTCTACAACTGCACCTCTGCCTTCTCTTTCTGAGGAATCCGAATCACTGAAATCACAGAGTGAGAAAGAGCATGAATCGGTCAAAAAGCAAAGGATTTCAGAAGAGGGTGTTTTTCCATTAAGTTTTGAACATGCATCATCAACCCCACCAGAATTCTACAACCAAACATGGAATCTTCCTTGGAGCCAGCTTGCAGCAGCATGCCTATCAACTTTGGATCCCAGTTTCATATTTTGAGTTTTCTTTGTTAATAATGTGTTTGCCTAATACAAGAATGATGCTCTTCATCTTACTATAATGTTTGGTGTATCTGTGTAATATAGTGCTGGAAAAATAAATAAATAAATGTTTGGGGTTGGCTAGAATTGTATCATGTATGTATTTGGAGGTTGATACTCTCGTTTGGAATAACACTACAATGTACTTTCTTTTCTTTTTAATAAAACCAAATTCTGAGTCTTAAAATGTTCAACAGATGGCCACTAATTTTTCATAATTATTTTAGGCTCACATGTTGGATTTTGATTTAAGAAAAATACTGAAAGAAACTGTGGTATCAAGATTTTTAAATAATTCAGTAAATGATATCATACTATTTTAGGTTGTTTTAAGGATGATAACAAAAATATAATGAAATAGAATAACTTTTTTTATAACTTAGAGAGTTTTTATGGTATTGTAAAACGAATAATTTTTTTTATCAATTAATTATTGTTTACATATGTAAAAAAAAATTATATTTTGATAAACATGGAACTATAACTATAATAATTCAATTAGAAGTATAATACTACTAATTAAGTGATATTAAGTAGTATAAAATAACAACAACAATATATATATATATATATATATATATAACAAATGTTAAAAGATTGAAAAATGTATTGATTTTACTTTTCTTTATTCAAATTTATAATTTCTTTATTATACTGTTTTATTAACTTTTATAATCTTAAATTTTTTCTTAAAAAGAAATCATGGAGTACTTGTCATTCAAAGTCTCGTGATGATATAAATTCATTTACATCCAAATTACAAATCTTGATTGTTATTATTTTTTTAAATCCTACGAGTCATTATATTTTTGGATTTTAAAACTAAAAAGAATTTTTTGTATATCAAATAATTTTGAAGTTTGATTTAATACAACAATCTTTATAGTGATAATTTCTTTTTTTTCTAGAGTTGAACTTGTGATTTTTGTTCCAATATCAATTATTAGATCATTATTGGGTCAAAAATTATAATTAATGATTAAGATTAATTCTTACTTAAGAAGTTAACTATCTAAATATGATTATTTGATTCTTACTTCAACTACCTTACATTTGTCACAAAACATTATAAATCTTATAATAGTTTATATATTTCATCGAAATAATATCACATTGTGTATACTTTGCCTACTTGCAAAAAGTACTAGTGGAAACATATTTCACACCTAAACATATTTTAAGTCAAAATAGTATTTTTCAGCTTTGTCACTTACAATGAACTAGTGCATCACTTTGACTCAACTTTTTGATCTTCAACAAGTGAATTTAAGACACATCTTGTCTTTTGTAGCTTTCTATCCAATTCCATGGTGCTGACTCATCAACCACCACATGCCTCTTGGTGTATTCTTCTCATCATCATCTTTTTCAAATTTTAATTTCTTTATCATTTTATCTAAATAAATTATTATTGCATATTACCTTCAATACACAAATAATAATACTTTACAACACAACATTATTTTAAATACTAAGATACAACATATGCTCTTCTCACTTCAATATTATGAAATCATTTTAATAATAAATTTTTTATATTTAAAAATTAGTTCTAGAATTTCATATATAATAAAATGTATTAATCACAACAACAATAATTTAAAATTTAATTCAGGACTTAAAGTAATAAATCCAAAATCCAAAACTTTTGACGTGATTATAACTTTTTCATTGAGTTATACATAAAATATAGGTTTAATTGCTTCCTTTGTCCCCAGTTTGGTTAAATTGTGTCAAATTCATCCTCATTTTTAAAAAAGTTTCATTGTCGTCCTCACGTGGTATAAAAGTGTCAATTGAATCCAAACATAGAAAAAATTTGTGTCAAAGTAGTCATTTTTCCTATATATCTGTGTCTTCCTTTCATATGTCACTTCTCTGGAGCTATGAAAAGCTTTAAATTGGATAAGGTAAAATGAATATCTGTACTTGATTGTATGAAAGGAAGACACAGAGATATAGGAAAAATGACTACTTTGACACAAATTTTTTCTATGTTTGGATTCAATTGACACTTTTACACCACGTGAGGACGACAATGAAACTTTTACACCACGTGAGGACGACAATGAAACTTTTTTTAAAAATGAGGATGAATTTGACACAATTCAACCAAACTGGGGACAAAGGAAGCAATTAAACCTAAAATATACTAAAAAAACGTACGAGAGAAGGCTTCCTACTCTGTTCTTATCACAAGTGACAAAAAGTAATTTACCAACAATCTCGTTTCTCAAAAGACGTGTACTACAGAAAAGCAATTTGAGAAACAATATTTTGGAAAAGACAACATACTTAGCATAAACATAGAAAGTTTAAGTTCCTTAAACATTTAAAATGTTTTTCATAGGAAACAGCCAAGCCTACTGATTTTACAGAATCACATAAGTTCAATTGGAAATATAAAAGTCACAGAAATTGTCACGCGTTTCCAAATTGGTAATTAGGACGGCTAAAAAGTTGTAACTTACTATTTAATTTTTTATTTTCTAGTCATCCGAATTTATAGTTTTTTAATACATATAGTTATTGAAGTTTATAAAGTTGACTAATGTATAGATAGTTTTTTTCTATTAATGTTAATTTGATATTAGTCAAATAAGATCAAATTATAATATATAAATAAAGATAAATGTATTTTATCAAATCAAATTTATAAGATTAACTTTAAACGTATCATCGCAATATAGTATTAGAATTATAAAAATTTATTCTAATAAAATTAAGGACTATTGTATTATTTTGATTTTAATTTTTTTACTCTATGTTCGATGTTTTTTAATATCCAATGTTTTAAGTTTAAGAGATGTATTGGAGGAAATCGATAGGAGATAAACCACTCTACTAAATGAACTTAATAAAACTTAATAATTTATATTATATATTTGATAAATACATCATATCATTTGTTTTTTTTTTTTTAGTTTAAGTAAATATAATGAAATATTTAGAATGGTTGCTTGAAGGATTTGGAAAGAAGGGTGAAAGTTGATGTGGATTTAACTTTTCTATTAGAAAAAAAATAATAACGTTGATAAAAAAATATAATGAAATATTTATAAATTATTATCAAAATAAAGTGTATTTTTATTATGATGGCAAAAAAAAATTAATATCCGTAAATATTTACAAGTAAAATTTATTACTAAATGAATACCCATAAATAATGAGTACAGACATTTAAGATGGATATTCGTAAATAATAGATTTGAATATTTAATTAAATAGTTATTAACTCATGTATAAATGCTATACGTTAATAATTATTAATAAATTTTAGTTAATTTTTTTAAAATCAAGTGATAAAATTATTAGTTAAAGAAATTTTAATAATTAGAGAATTACTTAGAATTCAGTTGAAATATTTGTAATTTTTATTTACACATATAAAACTAAAATTATTCTTTAAAATATTAAATTTTAAAATTTATATTTTTGTATAAATCATTTAGATTGATGTTTTAAAAAGACCAAATTTATTTATATTAACATTTGAATATGAAATTTAATTTAAGTGGTACTTTAAAATTAACTTTTATCTAAATTTATATTTAAAAAACTTGTTTTAAAATATGTTTATTTAAAATGATACAAATATTGATAAATACCTATGAAACATAATAATAAAAGCAATTGTGTAGAAGAGGTTGGTAGCGGGTAACGTAGGGAGCCGGTTGGCATCCTAAGAGCAATTGAATTAGAAAGTTGAAAGCTCCAAGTATTATTTTAAAAATGTGAGATTATTGATGGTTGGAGGGGTATTTGCAACGTGTCTAAACTAATAATAATATATAATGTTTATAATAAGGTTTCTTAGTTGAAACGTGCATAAATGGAAACTAGACGGAAGTTTGAAAATAATGTCCCATCCATCAAAGGTGCTATCTTTTTCCTTTCTTATGAGCCATAATACTCACCATTCCACTGCCCACACCATTTCACTTTCCATTATTCAATTCTTTCCCCATTTCACCAAGGCAACCTTTCACTTTCAATTCAACCTCTTCTTCTATTTTTCAACTCTTGCACCCCTAAATTATAACATCACACATCTTTATCTATCTACCATCTAACACTCTGTCATCTCACATCATTCTAAATTATCAAAATACATAAATTCAAAACAACCATACCATGTTTCGATAAACTTAACAAGAACAAGATATTACATTAACAAGTAAAAAGTTACAACTATTAACTTCATAAAACAAGGTCTTGAACATGGAAAATTAAGTTGGAAAAGTGAGAGCAAAACACAGTAAATATTTTACTGTAAGGAGGATTTGGAAGTGAGTGATTCAACTTGGGCCTTCCCACATGTTCCATTTAGCCTAATGTAAAGTCTATATTCATCATACGTCATTGGTGAGTACAAGGCTGGTCTCTCCTCTGTCACAAGCTCTTTGGCTGGTTGAATCAGTAAATCACTCCTTGGGTTATAGAACATGGCCAAAGACACACGATCTTGGTTTGAGTTCACAATCACCCTGTGTTCTACACTCTTGTAAATTGCATTGCTCAGCACCTGAAATCAAACATGCCATTCAACATTCGTTAATACCATTTCTTCATGAAATAACAGCTTTACTGGTAAAAGGTTTGAAGAGTGTGGGGAAGGTTAGGACCTGAATTTGGTCACCGATGTTGATGATGAAGGCATTTGGGACAGGCTTAACAGTGATCCATTGGTCCCCTTTGCGAACTTGAAGGCCAGAAACAAAATCATCAGGGAGGAGAATGGTCATGCCACCAGGGTCTGAGTGAGGGGAGAGTCCTAAAGTGAGGTCAGGTTGAGGGCACTTTGGATAGAAATTCACCCTTAAACATGCTCCAACCTCACTTTCACCCCCAAATGCATTAATCATGAAATCCTCTTTCAAACCAAGGTTTATCGATATCATTTCCAGTATTCTTCCTCCCAGCTTAACCACTCCTTCTCCATATTCACCGATCACTTTCCTATCACCACACAAACATAATTAGACTGTCTCAAATAAGTCATTCTTTTCATGACCTCACAAACTGACAACATCAATAATATAATCACATCTAAGGAAATGGTCCTACATATACCACTTAACCAAGAATATTTGTTTTCTGATTATGTACCAATTAACCTGTCTAAAATATGTACTATGCTTCTCGTGAGTTAGCTCCAAGAGAAGAAAATAATGTTACTGAGCTCTCTGTGCAACCAACAAAAGAAGAAAGAAAAAGCACAATTGAATACACCAGGTCCTTACACACTTTGCAGAGAGAACACACTTGTGGTGATAAAATATTCTCTTTTTGAATGATGTGTTGTGTATAAAAAATGCAGAGATAAAGACAGTTTGATGAATCATTTCACACAAGTTGAAATGGGTAGGTCATATTTTAAATGTGGAGTTATTTATCAGATAGAGCCATCAGACCGAAATGGTAGCCAATTAGAGTTTTGGTCTGGTCCATCCAATTTACACCGCACCCGTGAATCTTCAATGTCTTTAATCGGTGCATTCTGATACACACTGTGCCACCGCTTTCCGACAATTATCTATCCCCATTTTTTCAATCTTCTTTTATAAATTTTATAAACTGCAGAGATATGCCTTTGCCACACGTTTTACATGCAAAGGCCAAGTGTACTACGTGTTTACTTTGCAAAAAGGTGTTTAACAATTATACGTTAATCATATTTCTATACCCTGGAAAAAACCGCACCACCCATGCTGAATTTGTCAAAAAACTCTACCCTCTATAAAAAACAAAACTTTACTTCAAATTAATATGTTCAATTTCCACTAGATAAAAAAAAATTATTAAAGTTGAGATTCACTCATGTCTAACACGGCTCTGTCCAGATTGACAGATTTTAATTTCACTATCCCACTTTTATTTTTGCCTACAAAGTACCTTCTTCACAACCTCCCATGAGACCTTAATATACACAATGAAAACAACACCACTTTAATTAGTTGGGTACACCTTCATTTAGCAACTAACATTAAGCAAATATAAGTACCACGTCGCATCATACCAAACAAATAGCAACATTATAACTTGGAAACAGAAAAGAAAAAAAGAGTCATGATAGCAAGGGAATATATGTACCCACATACTTTAATTCTTAATTTGGGCCTAGGATGTTTGAACAAGCAACCTATCACTTGCTACCTATAAGTTCAAGTCACTATATAATGTCTGGGTTAATTTGACAATGAGCTTTCTCTGGGTTATTTTTAAGTAGACAAACATACATAAAATATAATAAGTACATCTTTAACATGATTCGTAGTTTGCATGTGTCAAAATCATTTCAGTGCTTCTACTAATTATACTTAAGTTACTATCAATTAATGAAGTAAATCTATAGTATATATTTCTTTTTCACCAAACAACATATACAAGTATGTTGTTCTTTCTTTTTCTATCTCTCTGGTCAAAAGACAGAGATAATAAAACATTTTAAGTGTGTTTTTACTTTATAAGAAAGAGACAAAGAAATAATTTATCTATGTAATGGATGTGGGACTTGTAAAAAGTAGAATAGACAGAAGATAATGATACCTCAAGGATGATGGAAATGCAGGCCATTTAGCTTGGTTTCTGACAGAGGGAGGCATGTAATGAAGGAAGAAGTAGTCACTCCAATCCAAGGAGGCTCCCTTCTGCACTCCCAAGCGACTTCCATAGCCCTCATAAGTGGTGGGGGAGTTTGCATGCTCCTCCTTCACCTCAAGAGGCTGGTTGAAGAATTCACGCCACAGCTCCCTAGAATTCTTCATCAACTCATGGCTAACTCCATGGTTCACCACCTGAAAGAAACCCCACTCACTGCAAGCCTCAGCCATCTTCTTCAGCCCCTCTTTTCGAACACTCTCATTCTTCGAAGAGAGTTGCTCAAGATCAATGACAGGGATGTTGGCATGATCATGGTATTGAGCATGTTGGTGATGAGTTTGAGGAGAGGGAAGAGTGTTGTTGGAGGGTCTTTGGGAGAGTGGCTTAATGTAACGGGAAGGGATAGAGCTGAGGCCACTTTCTGCTAAGGCTTGGACTCGAACCACTGGTTCTGGCCATGCTTGGCAACTCAGCATGTTTCTGGAAACTAGGAAAGCACAAAAACTAAGAGGGATTGGAGAAAATTTTGAGAAGTGCCTTTGAGTGTGTTTTTGCTTTTAGCTTATGTTGTAGTGTGGTTGAGAGCAACTACGAGAAGCCTATATATAGATAACAGAGCATTAGATGCCATATGCATAATTTCGGCGCCGTGATGAAATTGAGTTGCCTCTGTTCTTCTTTTTCTCACCCTTATGTCTTTACATTTTGATATTAGTTTTTTAATTTTTAATTTTTTTTATTAAAAACTATAAAAATTTATTTCTTTATAATATTTCAAAATAGGTTAGAATTGGTTAGGTAAGTCTATCCATCACGGATTCAGCTAGTTTAATTGAAAAAAAAAATTAAAATTTTGATACGAGTTAATTTTGAGTTTGACTCATTCAAAATTCGACTCACCCAAATTAAACGCGTGATAAACTAAGTTGATTCGTCAATTTACCTAATTTCTTTTTCTTGTTTGTGAATTATATTTGCAGTTTAAAATGATTTTAAATTATATTTCGATTGTATTATATATATATATATATATATATATATATATATATATATATATGTCCTATCTTATTTCATACGTATTTTTTTTCTTTTACTAAACAGGTTATTTAATTATTGTATTGAAAATTTGGAAACTGCTTGGAAAAAACTGTGCACTGACTTGAAATTGGTGCACCCCAACCATATACAACCAAATAATAATAATAATTTGATTACATAAATCTTTTTTACATTATTTATACTATTTTTTAATTTTTTAATAAATATAATAATTTATATTTTTATAATTATTTTTCTCTTATAATATGTATTAAATGAATATCAATATCAGTTGTCGAATAAAAGAAAATAAGTATGCTTTCTGAAAAAGTAAAAAATAAGAATATCTTATGTGTATTAGTTTTGTGTCTAACAACATATGGAAAACATGCTACATCGGGATAGAAAATAACATGACGGCATTTAGCATAAAACATAAATATAAAAGTTTTGGTCTATTCTGTACTTTTTAAGATATCGTGGAGCTACCGCTTTTTTATTCTAATTAAACCAAAACAAAGTTTATGTTTGTGTGTTGCCACCTAACTATTGTTTCTAATAAATTTCGACACGTCCTAATAAGTCAAAAATTGTACTATATAATTGTTCATAGAAACAAAATAATATTATTCAGTCTAATTTTATTTTAAATGTGTTATTGTATTAAGGTTTATGTTTAAATTTAAATTATTTTATAAAATTGGTTCAGTAGGATGAAATTTGTCATTATTATATATTGTAATTTAATTCTATGTTTAATCAATGTAATTTCTCATGTAATTACTTTTACTAGTTGTTAATTTTTCTAATAGAGAAAATCAAATATCAATGTCTTTCATTTTTCTATAAACCTTTCAAATTAACTATTTTTTTTCAATGTTATTGAAAAGAAAGGTGTTAAAAAGTAGACTTTAAGTTTAACTCAATCCCAAAACACACATCCCCACATGCCGTTGAAGTATATACATTTTCAGCGTGAGACTAGACATTAGTGAATGATCCGATAATGAATATGTCTATATAAATCTCGTTTGGATAAACTCTGATATGTTAAGAAGTGAATTTTAAGGTTAGCTCAATTCCATAAAACCAGTTTGTAAGGTGAAATTTACATTCAATTATATATTTTAAATTGACTTTATATCTAAACGTAAGACTTCTTACAAGAGGAATATGTAACATTTTCTACCTATTACATTTTATTTATATATAATATAATTCTCATTTTCAACTTAAATAAAATTAATTTAATAATTATTATTATACATAGATAAAATGTAATTGGTTTGATTTTATTATATTTTATTTTGCTTTAAGAAACTAAAAATCACGGAAAGTGTGAATTAAATAAGAGGTCTTATTAATAAATAGAGAAATGTGTTAAATATGCTAGAAAGGAAGTTTACCAGTAATTTCAGTCCTATCAAGCTTAATTAGAATTGTCTTCCATAATAATATATAATAATAGTATATATTGATACCTAACACCAAACAAAGTCAAGGAATTACTAAATGCAATATGTTTGACAAAATTGAAATTTTCATTATTTTTTGCTTCCTCTTTTGTTTTTTTTTTTCGGATTTTGTTATCGTACTTAAAAGAAATCACTATTTTTTAATTGAAGTTTTTAAGAAATTGTTGGTATTATTAATTGAGAATGTGACAGAAAGAAAAGAGGCTGTCCAATAATGTGCTTTGGTCGACATAGGACATAGATGACAGGATTAATATAAGCCAGCTCAAATGTCTGCTTCATCACTTTTCTCTATTTTGCTGGTATCTCTTTAACCCTCATTTTTAATAATAATATTGATTTTTACGATGTAATTCCAGCTTAATTGTTCTTATCAGTCCTTGATGGGACAGTTTGTATATATTCCTTATGCATCACTTATTTCTGTTTATTACTTTTTTAATATTAAAATATTTAAAATCACGTAATTTTAATTTAATTTTAATTTTTTATAATAGTTTTTTTTTACTTATACGATTTAAATACTAAATTATTAATTAAAAAAATTTCTTTTATCGGTTACACTTATGTTACATTCTTACTTCAAATTTAAAATTGTAATAAAGTTACAAAAAGAATTTGTTGATTTTTTTTCAATTTTTAAAATTTATACATATAAGATAAAACAAATATATTAACGTGAAAGTCCTCTGTTGGTCGAACCAATTCATGCTATCAATTCTAATAAAATAATTAAAATATAATAATTATGTTATAAAAACTTTATTAATATGTATGCATAAACAAATTAAACAAAAAAATGTATTGTATGGAACCACATAACCTAACATAAGTATTCTACAATTTACCTCTCAAAACAAGATTAACATAATTAATTAGGATTAGATAAACAAGTCCAACAAAATTTTAAATTAAAATTGTGAAAATGAATTAAAATTCGTAAGTCAATCCAGTTCATTATGAGTTTGAACTTAATTCGGATTAAAAAAAATTGTAAATTTTAATCGGACCAAAAGTAAACTTAATCCACTAAGAATTCGGTTCACTCGATTGAATCCATAGTGAATAGAGTTTGTTTCTCAACCTACGCATAAATTTTAAATATTAAATTATATTAAAAAAAGTTCTAAATTTTTTCTATCTTTAAATGTATTTGGATCGTATTGTAATTTTTATTGTATTTTTATAGTTTAATATCATTTTCGATTGTATTTTTGAATTGAACTTTATTTTTATTTCAATTAGAAAAAAATTGTAGTTTTTTAGTATTATAAAAAAATTAATCGTAAAGTGAACCAACTTGTTTAACCTATCAATATCTAGTGAGCTGGATCAGATTGAACCGGTTAACATGATTCGACTGTTATACTCTAAAGCATCTATTGACTTTAATCTACATAGTAAAAACTCATATAAATGCTATAAATAACACTTTTTACCAAATAAATTTTACACATTTAATATCGTATTTATTGATTTTTTATGTTCATGTCTGGGTCTCAATGTGTCTGCATATATTAGATCTAAAAATTCTAGGAGTCAAGGAAAAATATTTCAGCTTCCAAATAGAAAGATTTGGTATAACTCAAATTGAAGATCACGGTGAAGGAATGTTATCTATGAATATATCTTATGAGTGTGTTTAGGTACGTAAGAACAAACAATTATTAAATAAATTTTAATTAAAATATTTATCTTTTGTTATGATACACTAAATTATTAAAATAAGAAATATTATGATATAAAAAAATAAAATAAAACAATTTAAATTTGATAATTTATGAAGTAATTATTTTAATATTTAATAATTAATTTTATAAATATTCAAATTCAATAAATTAACTTGTAAATTAATTTTATTATATTTTAACTTTTTAAAATTGATATCAGAAAAATAAGTTGGATATTATTTGTAATTAATTAATTAATTAAATTTCAAATTTTAAATCATTTTTAATATTTTTTATTACATAAAGTAATTGTTTCTTAATTAATATTTCAAAAAAATATTTATATTCATTTTTATTGTAAAGACATATAAACATATTTTATGAGTGGTAATGGTTTAAAAATAATGAAACTCGATTATTTTAATATTAAAAGATTTTAGTATAAATAGTTTCGTTAAAAAAAAGTTTCATTATTTTAAAACACGCAATCTTTATAAATCATTCTCTAGAGTTCTCTAACTTCTCTTTAAGGGTTCTCATTCCCTATTCATGTGTTTGAAGATTAAAGACTACCTAAGTAATTACAACTGCGAGATCTTCAAGTATAACCGATTGGTTTCTTCAATAGAGTAAGTTGTCTTTCTGCTTTTTTTCTTTAGTTAGTTCCTTTTTTTCTTCTTGATGCTAGTATTCCTTGTTTTGGATGTTGAGTTTGAGTCTTCTATAAGACTCTCTGCTCATAAGTGGTTCTAACGATGATCGTATTTTTGTGATTCGTAAGAGCATATAGGACTTCCTGTGCATTTGGGGCTTTAGACTTCCTCGAGCAGTTTGGCCATCTTTCAGGTAAGAGAACCAATTTTTCGCTTTAATTTTGTATGAAAAGCATGAAATTATGTTTGATAGGTAATAGAATTTATGCTTGGTATGATGTTGTATATTGACAAGTGCATAATTGCCTATTTAAGAATATGTCGACATACATTTGTGATTTGATAACGGTGCTGCAAATATGATGTAGAGTTGAAAGTAGGAAATGAAGAGTGTTATTGGATTGGTGTTTAGTTTAAATTAAGGGTTTAATAGGTGAATTTCTATAAAAGCAACTTGGGAGTGATAACTGATGTTTGACATTTGGTTTAAGATCATTTAAAACTTGTATGAGTCTTTAGATAACAAAAAAAATGATAGTAAATTGAGAAATTCTGAATTGGTAAGACTTGTAGGATAATTTAGTGCTAAATGAGAGTTTTGATAGGTGAAATTTTGAGATAAGGGTGGAATGGAGAATTTAGAGGTTTAAAGTTTGTTGGTGGACTATTTGTGACTTGTTTAAAGGTTAAGTTCACCAAATTGTTATTAGGAATGAGTAGGAATGAACTTTTAAGATTACAGAATGATGTTTAGTTGTTTGAGTTAGAAACTTGTGAGAAAATAAGGC